TACATTTACAAATTGGAATCTATCAGATAAATATGATTTAAACCAATTTAGAGTTGTTACTGTAATTCCGACATCATATTCAAGTCTCTGTAGTTGAATATTGTGATCAGCTGTATCAAATGCAGCACTGAGGTCTAACAGGACCAGTATAGACACAAGTCCATTGTCAAAGGCCATGAGAATATCATTGATAACTTTCACCAGTGCAGATTCAGTGCTGTGGTGAACTCTAAACCTGACTGAAACTCTTCAAACAGATTATTTCTTTGCAGATGATCACGTTCTTCTGATGATGATTTTACCTTTTCAGTTTATAAGCTATAAAACAAAGTTCTTTGTGGTGCTATTTTTTTTTTTATCTTTAAAATTCTACATGCGAATATAAGCAGCAGACAATCCTAAACGTCAGCAATAGTAACTTTAATGACCGTAACAGAAACAGCAGAGATCAGAGGAAAGAGCTACTGGAACTTTATTGGTCAGAGACATGCAGGGGCTGCCGTGTGGCTAAGAGACGAACATCTTCCACCCACACAGCTTCAGACCCACTTCCTCTAAAGCAGCCAGCAGAGGTGATGCATGTCAGTTGGTGTGACAGGTACAGCTGAGTCAGCCATTTTTAACCTTTGCTGCCGCTCCCGTGCTCGTCCTTTCTGTGTCCTCCAGTGTGTAACATGGCTTCCTTCACTGGACCAGTGCTGCTGCTGATGAGCTTGTGTCTGATTTCTGCTGACGACGGAGGTTTGTAAACTACTTTTTTTTTTTATATGTAGCTTTCTTCTTAATTCATTTACTCTATAGGGTAAAATAAACTAAGGAAATTTAATAGTCCAATAAATTATAATTAAAAATACTAAAATATAAAATAAAAATGTGTATAGTTTTAAAACTAGTTTCCATGTGTTAAAACCAAAACAGTAAATAAAATAGTATACTTATACTGTACTTTAAAAACGGAGTGGTGGCGCAGAGATTAGAGAAGGTGAGCCTGTGATCGGAAGGCTGCCGGTTCACTTCCCTGAACAGACAACATGAAAATGTGGGTGGGAAAGGTGAAACACTCACACCTGCTTCCACCCTCATTGGTCCCACTCTGGGCTGTGGCGACTCCTGAAGAAGGGCTATCTTTAATAATGTTTGGAAATTTGATTTTCTTTAGAGAGCATTGTGTTTTCTCTTTTTCACCTCATCTGCTGATTAGCAATTTATGTTTTCTAAATGGCCTTGTGATCTGTTTTTTGCTGCTATGCCTCTGGATTGTCCTTTTGGTTGCTGTTTTGTTTCTATTTGTTAAAAAAAAGAGAGAAACTTACATTTGTATGCCTATTTTATGACTATTGTTGTCGTTGTTGTCCACTGTTATCACTCTTTGTTAAAATCAGGGCTCGCTTGTGAGTTTCCGAGGCTCAATGGGATTAACCGATTAAAATAAAGGTTGAATGAATGTTTAATTTACACCAAAATCAAGTCAGTAATTTAGCAACAAAATGCTTAATAGTATTTGATAAATTGTCGCTGTTTTTAATATTTAATTACATTTATTATTGTTTGTGACAAAGCTACAAACTTTCTACTAACTGTAGTTTTCCTTCTGTGTTTTCTTGTGTCATAGATTATTTGATGGTTTTGTACCCACAGAGGACCATCACTCCAGTTACAGGCTCATCAGTGAAACTACACTGTGAGGCCCATTACGACCTTAAAAAATGTGGATCGGTGCACGTGGTTTGGCATAAGATGAAGCAGCAAAGAACTGAGCTGACGGACCCCATCAAATACTTCACCACAGTCAATGAGACGGTCACTGAAAACCACATGAGACGTCGACAGGTCGTGACGGAGATCATCAATGTGTCGAAACTGGACAAGGGTCAATATCAGTGTGATGCTGAATGTGAAACTGGAGAAAAAGCAATGGGACATTTCATCACCATCAATGTCAAAGGTAGGTGTTAATCACAGAGATTATATTATAACTGGTTAGTGTAAATATACGTTAATTTTGTCTTCTTAGATAATAAACTTTGGCTTCAGGAGCAGATTTTCTTCTTGAACCAGAAAACATTTTACAAACTAATGCCTTGTTTTGAACGCTTGACTTTGTTCTCTTGCAGGTTCCTTTGCCTGAATTGTTGCAAAGCATGAAACGGAGGTAGACAAGAGTCTATTTTCTTTTTGTAACCACCACTTCTCCATATTTTTAAGTGAAGCATCGTATTTTAAATGAGACTGAATCGAGGAATTGATTCCAAGGACTTTTACGTATTTTCTTGCTTCATAAGTAATCTCAGCTGTAATCCGTCTTAAAGCTTTTACTCAACATTTCACAACATCTTATGAGAAGTAACATCAGCATGACTTATCATCTGACATTGTGACTATCTATCTATCTATCTATCTATCTATCTATCTATCTATCTATCTATCTATCCATCTATCCATCTATCCATCCATCCTTCAAGAAGCCATTTGTATGAATTACATAGAAAATGTTTTAGGCAATTAATGTATTTTTTTATTATTTTAATTAATAAATGAGTGCTTATTTTAAGCTAATTAGGCAGGTAAATCTTTTTCTGGATCACCTAAACTGTGTCTAAAAGTGTTTGTTGTAAACTATTTAACCTGTTTTACATTATTCAGGGAGATCACGCAGTCTGCATTAAAGACCTGAGTTTTATTTGCATAAAGTTTACCATGTCACACAAAATGCATTCTAATCTGTTGAGCTGGAACCTAAAAAACCCTAAAAGACCCAATTAGCAACAGATAAACCAAATCCTATGAAATAACTGACATGAAATTTGTTTTTTTTATGGGCACTGAACAGTGAGAACTTTAGAAAATTAACCTGCGCACACGTTTAAGGTGAAAATTGACAAAGATAATCGGCTTCTTTCAGTGTGGACAGATGTCAACAGATGTAAAACTTTACATGACTGAAAAGAATAACAGTTGTAATCTGTCTGCCCTTGCTCTCAATATACTCTTAAAATAATCTGTGGAAAAAAACGAAACCTTCAACTGGTGCAACGGATCACAAAGATGTGAAAAACCACAGAACTTAAAGAGATATGAACAGATCAGGGCTGCAAGCTGTTTACGGCACTTTGAAAACTCTGTGCTTCACCGTCGGTGTGGCCACGAGCGTTACAACCTGTAACCTCTCCCTACATTCTCTGAACATCCATTATCTGTAAATATGAAGCTTCCGTATCCTTCATAAACAAACCTGCAGATATTCTCATCAGCAGAAGGTACATGAGCACAGAACAGGAAACTGCACCAACCACTGTGTTGTTGTTTTCTAGTTCAGATTAAAGCAGCATGCACAGCCAGTTTGAAGAGGAACAATTAATTACTCTTTACATTTTAAGGATTTTCACTTTTCACACTAAACTATCTCCGCAGTTACCTGATGGGCTAAAATCAACAGCCCTTGGAGGATTCACTAAAACAGTTAAAACACATAATTTGTCCTGCGGTGCCAATAAAAGTCTGGAAACTTCATCACGTCACCAGAAACGTCTCCAGTTGACTCTTGACTGTGTATTTTGTGGAGCAAGAAATTTATTCAGAATTGATTTGAGTTAGTTGACCAAATAAATGTGTGCACATTATTAAGTTTTTAGCCCTATGATGAACTGGGTGGTTTTATTTAAAAAAAAAAAAGAAAATAATTCAAACAGATAAAATGCAACTATTTCCATTAAACACAACTATTTTCAGTTTTTAATGCTTTTATTTTTTTTTTATGCAAAATGTCAGAAAAAAGAAATTCTCAGTTCAGATTTCCTGACAGTAAATTTGTTAAATTTTTTTGGTTCAAGTTTATATTTAAAAGGCCTTGGATAAATGTTGTCACAAGTAAATGTCTGAAAGAATCCAATGGAAACTTTCAGCTCGTGTTTAAAAAGATAATCAGAGGATGGTTGCTGAACAGGAAGCACGTTTAGAGCACGTGGCACAATATTTCAGAAAGCCTGTCTGCTTCACCACAGTCAGGTGACATCCACTCATGAACATAAAATATAGATCATGCAGTGCGTTGAAAAAAATCATAGAAGACAATAATTTAGCTAATTAATAAAGTTTTCTTCAACCATTTCAGTTGCATTTACAAAGGCCTAAAAGTCGGTACAACCTAGTAGTTTCTGATATATTGACTAACAAAAAACACTTTCACTCCCTTTGTGCAAGTGTTTTTTTTTGTTAAAAAAACATTTAAATTGATACTCTACTAATAACTGAAGTAGATTTATATGTTAAATACATTTATAAATGTCAATAAAAAAAAAATATATATATAAAAAAGCCTAAAAATCAAACACACCAGTTGTTTAAATCTGCTGAATTCCCACATAGGGTTTAGAGCAAATTATGAGAAATGGGACATCTGTAAAACTTGTTTGAATTATCTTTTTTTATTATTATTACTACCACAATTGTAGAAAAACAGCAAGTTATCAATTTATGAATCCCTGAAAAATGATTTATTAGTCAAATTTATTTAAAAAAGTTGATCAACTATGACCTGTCCTGACGCATGCTCAACAATCCAGGCAGGTTCAGGTTCTCTGGACGGATTCTTCTTTGTTGAAACGTTTCGTATTTTATTCAAGAGACTTCTTCACAAACTGTGCACTTTTTTAATTTTTATATTTACTCTTGGCCTTTTAACTTGCAGGTGTGAATGAATCTGATTGATCAACTTATACTTTGAATCCAGTGGTCACATTTAACTTCTGCTGCAGTGTAGCTTGACACCAGCGCCCTCTCCTGGCCAACCAAAGTAATGTCAAATATAGCAAATACATGTAATTGCACATTATCATCTTTACTTTCATGCAGCAAACATTCAGTGACATAATTTTTGCTTTTATAAAGTCACAGTTTTTTTGGTGAATGCTAAGGAACACCTAAAACCTGCCAAATGTATTTATTGTGTTCTAAATATAGTCAGAATCTTATTTTATAAGTGCTCATAAAATTCCACCTGTTTTCAAAAGCAAGAAGCTGAAGCATTCGCTTGGTTTTAAATGTGATCGATATGACACAACGATGTTTAATATGATTTTGGTTCAAAATAAAAAAATAAGTTATGGTAGGAAATAAGTATTTTTTAAAAATCGTATAAACACATAACCTTAATATTCTCCTTTGAAGTCCATATCTACAGACCAACAAGATGCAAAACATTTACTGTGCTATATTCAAAATACCTGCTTGTTTACAAAAGAGAAGTTTGACAGCTTGTACAAGCAAAACCATTTTCCTGCTGGGAAAAGAGTGCAGATTTCATGATAAAATATGCATTACCCAGTTTGTCTTCTACACAATCAGAAACTAACACAAAGCACGTGTTGCCTTCTGGTCCTACTTTAGCTTCCAAAAGACAAAGCTTAAATTTTTGTCCGTCCAGTCCCATCTTAGTCATCTGTTGCGTCGCATCTTTATATACGTGGGAGATGTAAAGGTCAAGTGGCATCAGCAGCTCTGTGAATGTGCAGTCTTGGTGAACTTGCTCTGAAGAAAGACCCTCGGAACACAAAGACCCTCCTTCTTGTTGACCGTTTCTCTCAAGACGTATTCATTGGCAACAGATTCAAAGCCTGCCTCCTCAAACAGCTCAGCCAGAAACTCTGTAAACAGTTTAAAATGCAGGATGAAATCATAATGCAAATGTTTAATAAAGCTTAAAACGCGTGTACCGTCAGTGACATTTTTTTTTTTTTCCTTCTTGCTCTCAGCGAAGACGGACGCTTTTCCTTCCTGCTCCTTCCCCTGCTCTGCTCTTTGTCCTGAGGGTTTTATTTGCAACCTCACACTGTGACCCGTCAAGGACACAGTGCGAGATATGATTTGTTTTATACCTCCTCTTTTCTCATGCTTTCCCTTTTCCTTATCTAAACGCAAAGGGCAGCGCTTCCGACGAGGCTGCAGCCTCAGGCATCCCCGTCTACCCATGTTGTTTTCTTTGGACGGCTGTACTGAAATGTAATTTCATTGTGCTTCTGTGCAATGACAATAAAGGTTGATTATGATTCTGAATGTGGACTAAGATGCTACAAACAAGCTGTCCATTGTGATTAATAAAGTTGACAGATTATAAAAACTGGCTCATGAATTTACTATTTAAACTTTTACTATTTAAACTTTTTATACATCAGTTTGTGAAGAGTATCAAATTTCAAAACTAAGCTCGAGTTTAAACAGAAATCAGAGCACAGTTAAAGCAAATATTCAATAAAATAGATTAATTATATGCCCTACAAATACATTTGGTGGATCAGATTTCAAAAATGAGCTCTACATTTCAGTTCCTGAAATCTCTTCTGTGTTGACTAAACAAAAAACAAAAGACTACATGAGTACACACGCTAACCTTTGGAGAAGAAGTAAGACCTTGTTCCATCCTGGCGCACATAGAAGTTCTCCCCCAGCTTGCTGCCAGATTTAAACCGGAGCATGGCGTGGTCATAAAGGCCATAATCTCTGAACAGGATGATGCCACCAGGCTTCAGCACCTGAAAGGACAGTAACATTTTAAATTGCATTAAATTTTGCTAAAACCGCTGGAAAAGTCTTCACCTTAAGATGCTTTTTGTAAACGTGTATACAATTTAAATGGAATCATTTGAAAATCTTTTCCTAAAATGTACTAAAGTAGCTCACATACAACATATTTAACTTGTAACCTGCTATTTTATTTTTCTGTAGAAAAAATGCTTCTAAGGTCGTGCCTCCATATCAGGTACGGCTATAAAATAAAACTGATTTGGGAGGTGGAAAGTTAGTCCTAAATTTTAACAACCAGAATAACAAAACTCTTTCATTCAATATTATTAATGTCTGTGTATACAAAAAATAAATTATGCTTGTTACACTTTTTTTTTCAAACCTATCAAAACCTTCTACAGACTCTACAATAATCCATTTTGCCCGACTGTCTCTGTTTTTACCTTGCTGACGTTCTCCAAAACCAGCTTCATCTTATCAGGATGGACAGCCGACAGGACAAATATGAGAGTAACAACATCCACGCTGCTTTCTGGCACATTTTCCAACAAATCATCTTTTGTTAAGTCACACTGGAAGGCACAGCAGCGCTCAGGGCAGTAAAGAGGGTTTTTCTGTCAAACAAAAGAAGGTAAACTAGTTGCATTTACATCATTAAGTGTTCATTTTTTGACTTGTACATTTTCTTCATCACATTTTTCTTTTACTACGGATCGATCCTTCACAACCACGACTGGACAGATCAACTTCAGGAGTTAAATGTGAAATAATGTATTCCATGTTATAATTTATTCTAGGAAAAAAATTAACCACCACACACCCATACAGCATTGGAAGTCTGAATTGTTTTCATTATTCTCAAGATCTTTTAGATTAAAAGGTCTAATATAGAATATAACTAAATAAAAATAGTTAGGGCTTTGTCCAAAAGTCCTTACGGTAACTAATACATGGGCAAGACTGCTTACTTTCACAAATTCAACCGCCCGAGGTGAGAAATCACAGGCGTAGACAAAGATGTTGAGGTCATCCTCCAGTAGAGGGAAGATGCAGTTTCCAACCCCACAGCCAGCCTCCAGCAGAACCAGCTTCTGGGACTCGAACTGAAAACATGGTTGGACAAAAAATACAAGAGATGACTAAATAAAACTCAGACATCTAGTGAGATCTTGGTCATTTTTAAAGAGGAGAAATTTATTCTGCAAAGAACTTGATGCTTTCGTGAACAGATGATGCATTTGCTACAATGAGCTAGTCTCAGATACACTCTTCTGTTGTAAAGTGTAATTAATTTGTATATTTTAGAATAATTTCTGGTCTGCTCACCTCTCGACATGATTTGAGCTCATCAAATTCTCTGGTGGTCCAGTGTCTGTCCTTAAAGAAATTCGTCGTGTTTCTTTTGTAAAACAAGTCCCAGTTTTTCTGAGCTTCTGTCTCCAACTTCGTCTGTTTGAACTCGGATACAAGAGTCCTCTCACTGCTCAGTCTGTCCAGCTCCTCCTGGGTTAAATCTCTGACGGTGGAAGTTTTAGTTTGTCCGCATGGAGAAACTACGTCTTCATCTTTGGATTCAACTTCGCACGTATCATTTGTCAGTAGGGCCATGCTATATATATATATATATATATATATATATATATATATATATATATATATATATAAATAATTGGTTCGGCTTCCTTTTAGATAGTTATGATTTAATAAAAATGTTATTTACTTATTTTAAAATCAAATGACTTGGAGCTACCTTTTTACAATTTTTGAGTCCATCTTGTTCGTTGGTTAAATTCTTCCGTGTGGCGTTAACAACTTTTAAACGCTAAACACCGCATTCTCAACTGTTGGAAAATGAAAGCTAACATATACAATCACACGAGTATTAAATGATAATGTTATAATATCACATCAATTAGTATTTTCAAAAATGCCACAGCAAAAAGCAGCAAGTATACGAGGTCCTGCTCAAAAGTAGATGCTTGTCGGTGGTATTTGATCGTCGGACCAAGACCGGAAATCCGCTGTCGAGTGACGAAAGCCTTGTTTTGCTAAATGTTAGCATCTTCAAGCTAACTTTATCTCTTTATTGGACTCTCTTCTCCAGTTACCTCTATTTACCTTCGGCGCTTCATGGGATTTTAACTAAATGTAAAATTTTAACTATTTTCAAAAAGACAGAATCATGAACGGGAGTACTAATCCGCTGCTAGATAAAGAGGAACATGTTTTAAAGCTCGGAGAAAGCTTCGAGAAGAGGCCAAAATCTTCTTTTCACACCATCAGATGTGAGTAACAAAGACCAAAGCCTTTACAATACATAAATAAATAAAACCTGCTGGGTTAAGTAAAAAAAAAAAAAAAGACAAAAAAAAACTGCATCATGAACAGAAACCAGACATGAAAAGTTGTTTTAAAATATCCAAATGGCATTTTTGTCATGTTGGATTTTATTAGGGTCTTTTATTTTGATCAAGCATTTTCATTGTTTAAAACATCAACTGAGAAAACAAAGGAATTCTATTCGAAAACCACTGCTTTTTATCACACTTCATTTAGAGCACTTATAAATGGCCACCTTTTTTTTAAGTTTGATTTTCAGCATGTTGATGTGAAACAATAATAGCACTAAATAACTAATAATAAAGTAGTATGCAGGTATATTATTTACGGTTATGTCCTTTTTATATGTTGGTACTGGCGTCTGCAGCAAACCACCATTTTAAATTTTGTATTAAACAGTCTGTAATAAACAAAATTTTTGCCAATTTTTCCATTTTCCAGATGACTTTAAACCAGCTTCTATTGACACGAGCTGCGAGGGAGAGCTCCAAGTGGGAAAAGGAGATGAAGTTACCATAACACTACCTCACATTCCAGTAAGAATCTCAAAAAGCCGGTTTCACAATACCAGGCTTAATTTGTGTTAGTTGGCTTCACAAAATCAAAACTTCCTCTCAGAGGTAACTGAGAAGATGGATTATGATTGGACCACTACTTTTCCTGTGATATATATATATATATAT